TAACCCCGGAGCTTTGGAGAACATAGCAATCAAGTTAAGAGCCACAGGAATTTGTGATTTATTTTTAAAAAACAAGGTGGTGTCATCTGCCAGTTGGCTAATCTGAAATTCTGTGACAAAAAATTTGATGCCCTATAAATTTTCATTTTTGATCAAAATTGCTAAGAGTTCTGATGCTAGGAGAAATAACAATGTAGAACAGCTGCATCCTTGTCTAATGTCTTGTTTAATTTCAAATCTTGGACATGTGCCCTGAAGAACAACAAATTTGCCCTGTGCGCCATGCAAGCAACATTCAGTGGGGAAAATAAATGGATAAATGAATTTATTAACGTTATGAAAAGACGTTCTCACAATACAAACACTGAAACATCTCCTACCTTTTCCCGTTAATACATCTATGGGAAGAATGATCTTCATCTTCTGATTTGGTATCCAGCTGTTATAATATATTAATGGGACATACAAGGGTTGAATTTAGTTTATTGTTATAATCAGTCCTATTGGTGTTTGTGTCTGGTTTGGTACCATGACGATAAATGAGAACACTCTACTGGAGGGACACAAAGTTGTGTTGGTTCCTTACAATGCAAACCACGTGTCCAGGTAACGTTAACATTAACACCTGATCAGGCTTGTTACACACGAGAAGCCTGTTACTTTGTTCTTTTATTTTCCTCTGCTGATATCTTTAGTGATGAGTGTTTGAATGTCATTTCTTTACTATCAATGTTTAAACATGGCCGACGGGTTTTATGTTGACTTGTAAATACAGTGGTGTGAAAAAGTATTTGCCCCCTTACTGATTTCTTATCTTTTTGCATGTTTGTCACACTGTAATGTTTCAGATCATCAAACAAATTTAAATATTAGTCAACGATAACACAAGTAAACACATCATGCAGTTTTTAAATGAAGGTTTTTATTATTAAGGGAAAACAAAATCCAAAACTACAAAGCCCTGTGTGAAGAAATGTTCGCCCCCCTGTCAAAACATAACTTAACTCTGGTTTATTGCACCTGAGTTCAATTTCTCTAGCCACACCCAGGCCTGATTACTGCCACACCTGTTCGCAATCAAGAAATCACTTAAATAGGACCTGCCTGACAAAGTGAAGTAGACCAAAAGATCCTCAAAAGCTAGACATCATGCCGAGATCCAAAGAAATTCAAAAACAAATGAGAAAGAGAATAATTGAGCTCTATCAGTTGGGAAAAGGTTATAAAGCCATTTCTAAAGCTTTGGGACTGCAGCGAACCACAGTGAGAGCCATTATCCACAAATGGCGAAAACATGGAACAGTGGAGAACCTTCCCAGGAGTGGCCAGCCGACCAAAATTACCCCAAGAGCGCAGCGACAACTCATCCAAGAGGTCACAAAAGACCCCACAACAACATCCAAAGAACTGCAGGCCTCACTTGCCTCAGTTAAGGTGAGTATTCATGACTCCACCATAAGAAAGAGACTGGGCAAAAATGGTTTGCATGGCAGAGTTCCAAGACGAAAACCACTGCTGAGCCAAAAGAACATAAAGGGCCGTCTCAGTTTTGCCAGAAAACATCTTGATGATCCCCAAGACTTTTGGAATAATACTCTGTGGACAGACGAGACAAAAGTTGAACTTTTTGGAAGGTGTGTGTCCCATTATGTGTGGCGTAAAAGTGCAGGTGATGCCCAGTGTGCTTATCTTAAAAGTGATTCAGAATCTAAGACTGAGCAAAAATCTACAGTCAGCCTGTGCTGTGGTTTGTACATCTCACTCATTTCCTGTGTATATCTCTTTATATCTGGACACTATATTCCCCTTGTTTTCTACAGAACCTAGTTACAGAGGCAAGAGCATTGGGAAGGAGGTGACACACATGATGATGTGCTACAGTGAGCATCTGATCCCATCTTTCAGAAGGTTTTGAGCAGGAAGACAGAAGCTTAAAGTCACTGTGTAGAAGTTGAAGTTTTCCACACTTCTTGAATTACTGCCCATTTTTCTGCAATTCAGTCTTGTGCTGTGTTCATCATTAGTTGGAGAATCAACCTGTGGTGGAGCAGGAAAAATAATAAATGCAAAATCGCAATGAGAATGTAGACAGTAGTGGATGAGATTGATGCAGGTGTGTGGTTTGTTGGTCTGTTTACTCCCATAATAGTAAAATATTAAAAATAATGTTTTGTTTGTATATTAGTGACAAAAATCGGGTTTTTAAATATATGAGTAAAAGCTGTAGATAGCACAGTTCTGTACACTTTTCTTTGCTTTTATCTACTACACTCTATTTACATTGCACTTATTTGTATGCAGACTCAGAGATATGCACGCCTGTTTTGCACCACACAGTGGAGACTCTGAACAGTTCTTGTAGCACGAGACTGTTACATCCCCAGCGTAAGAAGAAGCATTACCGCAGGTCATTCCTCCCCACAGCAATAAGACTGTACAACACATTACTGCAATGATAAGCTAGGTGAAATTATGAGGGACTATGCAATAGTCGACAATATTCAGTTCCTAGGGTGAAATGTGTTGTAAATAGGCTCATGTGTAATATCTTGTTCCTGATCTCTCTCAATACTGTACATCGCCCTGCTTTAGGTATTTTTGAGTAGTTCCTCAGAGATCCTGATGGCTGAAATATAGGTTTCTTTCCCTCATTGTGGGATCAATTGTGAAAGTAATATTCGCTTGTTCTTGAGTTCCTGCCTGGTTTTCTTGATTCCTCTCAATACTGTTCTTTTTTGTCTTGTTCCTAGGTATCTTTTTTAACTTGTATCTCAGGGACAAACTGTGGAAGGTCTGTTCTTGTTTTTGATTATCTCTTACATACTATTTTTTTATCTGGTTTTTAGGTACCTGGATCTTGTTTTCTCAAGATATGTGCATG